GAATGGATTTTAACCTGTCTGGTTATAATTTATTGAGTTCTATATCTTAACCTGACTAAGTGTGAATTAATTTATAATATGTAATGTAGGCTGGTGATTAATACTGAATTATAAGACTTCACAACTTGTTGGCCCACTACTAATACTGGATTTTTAATTTATTAGACTATCTTTGTGTTAGGTACTATAGATGTTTCAAAAGTTAATACTCAGAATTTAGACCATGCATTTTCTCATTTAGCAGCTTGTATAGAACATTTATCTGTGTGAAGAAAGGGTAAACTTAAGAAAATACAGTTGCTTTTATAACAACGCAATTCTGTAGAAATTTGTTTCAAATTAATTTTCTAAGGTACCTGTAGTAGAAAGACACCACCAAAACTATTAAGGATGAGAATTGCAGGGCTGGTTTAAAATCCAATCCAGATTCTATTTCATTCAGTGCCATATTTCCATTAAATTTGATTAATGTCCAGGAATAAAAAACAATATTTCTTTTTTGTTCTTTTTGTTCTAGTAAACAAGGCATATGTATACTTTTGTGTCCTCTTTTAAAGCCAGTAATCCACTGGACTGATCACTACATTGTGGTGTCTTTATAATGTACAACTACGTGTGGCTGTCAGGAACAGAAAGGTTAAAGGAAGTGAATGAAAGATTGCAAATCTTTTAAAGCAATGACCTGCTAGTTATTTTACATCACTTTGTGATCACTTTCTTAAATACACTATTATCAACAAAAAATGTATATATGTACTGATATGAAGAATCAGCTGAGTAAATGCAATACATAAAACAAAAAAGTGCTCATCTACATTTTTTTTCCTAGCCTTGTGGTTTGTTCCTTCTTAGCAAAACCAGGAAGAGAGATATTACTGTTCTTTCAAAAAATTAATGGGTTAATATATTGACATCCCTGATTTTTGACTTAGGAGTGTACAAATCATAATTTTAAGTGTAGCCAAAGAAAAATAAAGTTGACATGTCACCCATGGTAAATGCTAGACATCATTCACAGTAGTGCTGCAGAAGGTATCTGTAGGATATTGCATAGTGGTTACTATGAAGGTCTCATAAAGGATGGAGATAACAGGCACTGAGCCTGCAGATTAAAAAATCATTTAATAACAATAAAAAGAGCTTGTCTGGCTCATCTTGGTTATATTTAATATGTCTTTTATATGTATTGGATTTATACTGATTGAAAACTCACTGCTTCTTTTATGTGGCTGAATAATTAAGACTGATGATGTTAGTCTGGGCCCATAGACTTAAAAGATAGAGAAACACATTGTTAAATCTATGATACACTTGCAGTCTTGAACCAGCATAACTTGATTTGTCACTGAAGTCTTTGAAAGTGTTGTAAATGACACAGATTGCCATCATAAGGTGTTCACAGGAGCTGTTCAATATTGAAAGTAAACATAGGTCTGCTTTGCTGTCTGTCATTCTTCAAGCTGTCAGAGAGCAAAACAAATCTCTGGAATAGCTTTTGCGGTTATAAAGTAGGAAACATGCCAGTAGAATAAACGTCATTAACAAATTTTGTAAGAAATCCTGAAATGACAATTAGACAGCATAATGCAGAATCGTAAACACAAGTGGCCAGTATTATCATAGAATCATAGAATAGTTTGGGTTGGAAGGGACCCCTAAAGGTCATCTAGTCCAGCCCCCCTGCCGTGGGCAGGGACAGCTTCAACTAGAGCAGGTTGCTCAGAGCCCCGTCCAGCCTGACCTTGAATGTTTCCAGGGATGGGGCATCCACCACCTCTCTGGGCAACCTGTGCCAGTGTTTCACCACCTGCAGCGTAAAAAATTTCTTCCTTATCTCTAATCTAAATCTACCCCCCTTTAGTTTAAAGCCATTCCCCCTGGTCCTGTCGCAACAAGCCCTAGTAAAAAGTTTGCCGCCATCTTTTTTATAAGCCTGTTTAGAAAAGCACAAATAGTCAATAAATCATGCTGTTGATTATTGTACTCATTCATCTGTGGGTTGCTGGGGCACTAGCAATGTAATTCAATCTTGAAGGTTTGTTATTGTTTAGACCACGTTGTAAAATCTATTGATAATCCATGTGCAGCATGATTTATTCTTTCATCTAATATTTGTGCTATTGGTAATAAGATACTGCAGCCATGGATTGTAACAGACACTTTAGATCACATACTTTATGGTTTTCATCTAGGAAAAGTAATAATAAAAAATTGAGAAGGGTCATAAAAACCTTATTCATGTCATTCTAAAGAGATTATTATAACATCATTATTGTACTAACATTACCTACTTTAACAAATTTCTTCTGAAGCATTGGCAAAATTTGTGTAAAAGACTGAATCTACAGTTACAAAAATAGCCATTTTCCTAGGAGGCTTTACTATTCTTCACACTTTATTATTTTAAACCATCTAAACCAAGAATCATTTTGACTTAAATTTTTGTCTTTGTTATTCTGGCTGCTCCAAGCTTTTATATGAAGGGTTCTTGAGCCAGTGATAATTTAGTTGTCTAGGCACAGCCATCTAGTGCCATTTTAAATGCAAAACATCCACACACAGCCTGCGGATGTGACACAGGACCTGCAGGATACCCGTGCCCTTCTGAACAGGCAGATAAACAGCATCTACCATTGAAAATGGTACTAAACCCTCTTAGGCAACTAAATAAAGCCTCCATAGTAGGATTGTACTTTCTTTGCATTCCTTGTGCCCTCCAATAAAAATGAGACATAATGTACAGTAGGATATTTAGGGCTGCAACTTAGCTGTCCATGTATATGTGCCTCCATGTGAGCTAGGTGTCCAAACTGCCTTTATAGCTGGTGGAGATCTCATCCTCAGTTCAGTCGCCTTAAAGTGGGCATCTTGATCAATCTAATACATCCTGATTAGATATGATCCATATCTGATATGTTGTGTCTCATCTGCTGCTCCAGAAGGACGTGGGTGTCCCATACACATGTGCACACCTACAAACACGGGGTGCAGTGCAGGTGTCTCAGGTACGATCTGGCATGAGGTGCTGAGGTTGAGAAAAGTCAGAGAGCCAGCGGTGATGCAGGCAGCTGTGGTCTACAGAGTTCCTCAGCTGGCACTTCTGCGTGTCAGCTCATGGGATGAACTGAAGAGGCTTTGCTGTATTGACTAGGTCTCCATTGGTGGGAGCCTAGCTCCATGCAGGGTCCTGACTTCAGGAGTCTGACTTTTGAAACAAATCAAACCCTTTGCTGAATCACTGTGATATTTGGCACATATGAATGACTATAGTGAAATTCACTTTAGGAGAGATGCACATATATATGTGCCATAGTAGTGGGGGAAAAAAAAAAAGACAAACGGGATGCACTTTCCTACTCTTTACTGTGGGCAGTCAACACTTTTTGTCTTACTTACATGAATGTTAGAGGAATGGAAAAGAGAGACAGCAAAATCAGTCTGAAGGGTGGTGTGAAATATGAAACTAAGAGTTAATAGATAATAGGTAGCAGAGGAATAGAGGTAATGACTGACTTATAAGTATGTATCTCATTTTTATTGGAGAAAACAATGCATAGAAAGTATAAGCAGACTAGTTTAATGTCTTCTCTGTGATCTTTTCACAAAGCATGCAATTTAAAACCCACTGAAGTCAGTGAGAACCATTTCACTGACCTGAACAAGCTTTTTATCAGAATATAAGACATTTATTCTTATGCATAGATACATAGTAAATATGTGATAGCCAGTCTTGGTTATTATATTAAAATTATTCTGAGTTTTCTACTGTTCCTTTCAGTCAGTGACTTAACATCAGACTTAAGATTGCTTCAGTAATTGCCCGACATAATTTGACACTATTTGATTCTGCCTATTTTTAACATCACTATTTGGACAGTATTAACTGTACTTCATGCTTTTCCTCACTTTATTTCCATAGAGTCCTATTAAAAAAATAAATGTGAAAAAATAAATACATGAAAACTTGTAAAGCTTGAATGAATAAAAGAAAGTTACTGGTCATAGCCATCCAGTGGATAAAATGGGTTAATACTTGTGATATGTGTTTCTGTGTATTTTTATTCTCAACCCTAAGGTAAGTTTCCTTTTGGTCTATATATTGCTCCTTTGCCTTCCCTGAAGTGCAAGCTTCTCAGGCAGATCTAGGAAATTCCTCAATGCGAACACTCTTTTTCTGTTTTGAAAACCAGCATTTTTCCTTACCTGCAAGTCATAGATCAAGTCAGGAGAGAATACTTCTCCAGCGTACTTTAACTGTTTTACTAAAAGCTACTCGGTGTGCTTAAGGATTGCCGCCTAACACATGAAACTCAGTGGAAGTTTATCCATTCAGGCTTTACCGGTTATGCAGAACTTGAGGCTCGGAGAGGGTGTATCCATCGCAGTGCCCGAGGAGAGCAATTCTGCACGTTCCAGCACTTTGCTCGACCATAGCAATTGCCAGACCAAACAACGTTGTTTAAAAGCACGTTCTCATGTGTGTTTGGTACATCTCCTTCCTTTGGAAGACAAGAAGACAAAACTGTTTGATCTTTTAAAAGCTAAGTTTTAATGGAATGGAAGAGTTGTTTAAATTGTTTAACGATACTTTTGCCCATCCATTTAGGCTGGTAAGAGGAATGACTTGGAGTGGCTGAGAGCATTTAGCTTTCCATTGCAACTTGCAGAATGAGTCGTGAGATGAGAGAGCTAATGTATGTAAGGGCTTTGTTGTATTTTGTAACTTAATAACTTAGCTTACAATCGATTTCCTTTTATATTTTTTTAGGCTGCGTTTAATATATCCTGCCAAGAAAGCATATGGATTATTAATTGTGTCGTAACATTACTTGTAAGGTGTTTGCCTATATACAAAAGACAGTTGTCACAGTGTGTGAGAAGTTTGTCTCTTCATAAATTCTAATGCAAAAATGCATTTGGGGTAAATATAAGATGTCCTGATGTGATTGCTTTAAGTTCTTACCTTAAAAATGATGAACTTTTTTTTTTTTTAATGACAGAAACCTTTGAAATGCTTATCAGACTGGCTGAGAATTACACAAGCACGCTTTTCTGCAATGCATATAGAAACATGGCTGCTGAGGCTACTACACGTGTCCAGGAGTTTTTCGCGGATGTTGGACTCTTCGTATTTGGCACAGACGTTAGCACAGAGGAATTTGTCAACAGATTTTTTGACACCCTGTTCCCAGTAGTCTACAACCACGTGATAAACCCTGGTCTGACTGACATTTCAGTGGAATATGCGGAGTGCCTCCAAATGGCGAGAAGAGACATCAGGCCCTTTGGTAACGTTCCCCAAAAGGCCATAGGACAACTGGGAAGATCACTGTTACCCAGCCGGACATTCTTGCAGGCTCTGAATTTGGGGATTGAAGTGATCAACACAACAGATCATCTGCATTTCTCTAAAGACTGCAGCAGAGCTTTACTGAGAATGCAGTACTGCCCCCATTGCCAAGGGCTGACTTTAAGTAAGCCCTGTATGGGCTACTGCCTCAACGTCATCCGAGGCTGCTTAGCTAACATGGCAGAAGTTGATCTTCACTGGCGGGGATATATTCAGTCCCTGGAGGAGCTCTCAAGTGCCATGACTGGAACATACGACATCGAGCACGTGCTTCTAAACTTTCATTCACTTGTTAATGACGCTGTCGTACAGGCTCGTATCAATGGGCCAGAATTATCTGAGCAGGTAAGAAGCTGTTTTTATCCACGCTCGGTGCAAACGTGGCACTAAGAAAAGTAACACTGATAATTATTACTTGTTTGGCCAATTTTATGGTGATGAACGCATTTGTATCCGAGTTCAGCTTTATTTGACAATGCATTTTTCCAGCACCGCCAGTTTTTATTTTAATCATGCACATGACCTGCTAATTTCCCATATTCTATTCACAAGGTTCACATCAAGTGGAGCTTCAGCATTTTGGCAGCATTTACAGTAAAGGCTTTTCAAAATGAAAAGAATTCTTGTGTGGAATTTATCTTTTCCCATGTCCGATGAAACCACAGCTTTTTTCAAAATTTTGCTGAGTGAAAATTTTTGTTGCACAATGCAATGGGAACTTCTATTCCTTCACCCTTTTTATTTAGAAGTTAACATTTTCAGTAGGTGCACTGAATAGCTTTAGGTTTAACTTTACAACTGCGTCTGTTAAGTTCTACTGAACAAGGGTGAACAGTGGAATGTGTCATTAAGTTTGGAAGCTTAAAATATTAATGAGAGGAAAATAAATTATCTGGTGAAAAACTAATGCCACAAATATTCTATAAAAACAGAATTTAATTTAAAATTTTAATTTATAAATTAATTTAATTTAAAATTTAATTTAAATCTGATATTTGTGTAAATGAGAGTGTTAGATCTCAGCAATTATATTTGTTTGCAGATTGGACACTTGTTATACGACATACTGGGAATAATTTTTAGGAGCACAAAAAAGTGTTTTTCATGAATATAAGTAAATTGTTTAATTGCTTCATTGTTATCTTATATGCACATAAAGGTAAATTTAAACAATCCTTCTTTTAGATTCCAGTGGCCTGTCTTAAATAACCTATGACTTTGCGTAATTATTTGCATAATTTTGTAGGCTTCAGAGAAAGTAGCAGAGTTCATTTGTAACATGAACCAAATCCTTCCTTACATATACTTAAGAGAGAAAGCAAGTTATGTGAGAGCTGTGTTAGCTCTGAATGCATGAAGTGAAGAATTTTAAGATACCGTTAAGGAAGATGATACACATTATTTAGCTACACATTAGAAAGAAAGTTAGTATATCTGCAAATTTGTGAAGGTGATGTAAGTAGCAAAATTCTAATTCTTCCTATGTTACATTTAATCCACGATACATTTTGTAATTATATTTTTCTCTGTATTCTTACATTCAGACTTCACTGACAGCGACGTATTCTGTGTTTAAAGCTGGGTCGAATACCGTGATCTGGGGAGATGCCTTTAGTTTTACAGGGTACACAGGTCTGTTTGTGCCTGGGTGTCACTGTGGCGTGGCATCAGCTGAGGTGCAGTAATACTTCTAGGACTACCACAACCTGCCTCTTTACGTGACTAGCTGAAGTTGAAGCAGCGTCTTCTGCTGAGCAGCTGATATGACCTCTGGCAATAAACAGCTTGACCTAATATAACAAACACAGGATTCTTCATTTCTTACGAAGACCCACAGTCTATTAAAATGGGTTCTTCATCCTGCTTGTAGTCAGTGAGTAACAGGGAAATTGCCCATTTCTATGAATTTCCCATTTTATCTGCTTTATACCAGCCAGCTACATTAGCCAGAATCTCCTGCTGCTGAACTTCCTTGAGAAAAACTGTGATTTTTTTTTTTTAATTTTTTTCACTAACAGTTTGGCTCAAAAGTGGCTCACTAATGTCTGTATCATTCCTAATATGTTTCAGAGCTACAGTTGCCTTTTAGGGATATTCCCTGTTCCTCCTCAGATTTTTGAGGGATCTTTTTTGCCTATAATTTTCAGGAACAAGCTAGAATAAGAAAGTAAAGGCTCAAGGGAAGGCCTTCTTTTTCCTGTTTCATCCTGGGTCACTTAGTTTGAAAAGTTTTAGACTTGGATTTTCAACAGTGAAGCGGCACTGGCCCAGACTTAAGAGTCTCTCAGCACGCTCACGTTTTCAAAATGAAAGTTTTTACTCTCCAAAATTTCACTCAACTTCAGTAAAAAATTAAATGGGTGAAGAGCCCTCCACCCAGTCTTTTGGCTTAATGAAATTTTCAGATTGGAGCAAAATAAAATGCTTTATTTTGATATTCCTGAAAACTCTATGCCTTCCTTTTCCCCTTCCCTCATACGAAGTAAGGGATACTAAAATTTCCAAAATGAAAGTTTTTACTCTCCAAAATTTCACTCAACTTCAGTAAAAAATTAAATGGGTGAAGAGCCCTCCACCCAGTCTTTTGGCTTAATGAAATTTTCAGATTGGTCCAAAATAAAATGCTTTATTTTGATATTCCTGAAAACTCTATGCCTTCCTTTTCCCCTTCCCTCATACGAAGTAAGGGATACTAAAATTTCTTATGTAATGGTATATTGTGCCAATGTGTTTGTTTGAAGATCGAGTGTTTACTTCTGTTAAGATCTTCTCATACAGAAACACTTCCAAACTTTAAAACCTAAATATTTCATTTTTCACTCAATCTGCATCAGACGTATGCATTTAGACATATCTGTCACTTAATCTCTATGTTATAATTGACCAGTCCTTTCTCTGTTTCATCTATAATTTGGACAAATAAGACTATGATGCATTGATCCCTTGAAACGTGGTGATCTAGTCAGTCAGTTCTGATTTGCTGAGTATGGCTTGAATATATTTCATGTTTGCCTATACATTAGGTATCAAGACTTAATTCTGACATGTAATAAATACAGTCTTTCAGCTTTAAGAGGCAGAGGACACGAGTTCTGTTGAAATTGGCTCATTAATATTTATTTATTTTATCTTCAGAGTTACTCATGAACTGTTTCAAATTTTGATAAGCAATTAATGCATCAGTAATTCTAACAGACACAGAAAAGGTGATTATGAGCCAGCAAATAATGGCTCGCTTAGGCACGCAGCAGTCTCTGCAGTTTTAAAAGTGAGTTTCATCACAGTAAGTACTTTTATGAGTTTTAAAGAAGCAGACAGAGAAAAAAAAATCTTTAAATGTTTGGAAGTATGATATATATATATATCTGTGAAAAAAGCTAATAGGAGAATCAACAGAGTATCCTGCTTAGTGATACATGTATTTGTACAGCTCTTCATCTAATCGTGTACGTTTGTGTAAATAACTATATGTAAAGAATTTTTTTCTAACATGTTGTGTGGATATCTATATTTAAATCTAATGTGTATTCATACATTAAGCTCTGTGTGGTGTAGAAAGACCACTGATGCCTATATAACATGGCTTCCTTTTACAAAACTCTTTTCCAGTAATTTACAACTTGTTCCCTTTTCTGCTTGGGTCAGCAGAGCAGTGCCACACTGTCTCCAGCTGGAATTTCTCTTTCCCTTTGTTCTTCCTGTTTCGAATTCACGCCTTTAATTGCTGCATCCCACAGCTCTGCTGACTGACAAATAAGTGCAGCACCTGTTCATCATCTCTATACCTGGACATTATTCTGTGCTATTCTGCAGGATCTAGTGGACATGTGTGGGTTGTGTAACTCTTCACACATATATATATGTTCACATATATATATATACACACACATATAGAATCATAGAATCATTGAGGTTGGAAAAGACCTCTAAGATCATCGAGTCCAACCATCGACCCAACACCACCACCCACTAAACCATGTCCCTAAGCGCCTCATCTACTCGTCTTTTAAATACCTCCAGGG